CGGGGCGGGCAGGGCCTTGGCCGTGGGGCCCCGCGCGCTGAGCGATGGATGGAAAGAGGCGTCGCTGTTGCCGGCGCCGCGCTCCCTGTATGGGGCCCGGAGCGCGACCTGGGGGCGGCTGGCTGCGGCTTCACGCACGCTGAGCTGTCACGTTTCCGCGCTACCCGAAGCAAAAGCTCCCCAGGAGGTTTATTAAGTATTATTCGACCCATGGATCGCTGTTATATCCCGTTCCGCGGCCACGCCTGGTGCCCAGAAGGGTCTACAAAGAGGCAGGTGTACAATACCACCATGAAAAACGATGAAATAAACCACAACTAAACACAATCACAGTCCAAACAAACTAAAAATCCATCGCCTGCCGCCCTACCCACCGCTTGGCCTTCCTCCACCCCCCTGACCGCGGCTCTGCTCAGCACAGTATCTTTGGGGGCAAGCTGGAAGCTTGCCAGATGGGTTTTGTCACTGTTCTTGCTTTAGGGCTGCATCAGGTAGTGCTCTGGAGCACAAGGTCCATCGTCCTTGACCCTGGGTGGCCCTTGCCACGGTGAATACCGAGAAGGAAGCAAACAGCTCTGCGCTGTGCTTTATGCAGCACCGTTGGTGGAAATGGAGCCTTGCAGGTCTCTGCCCTCAAGGAGCTTACAGTGCAGCACAACTGGGGGAAACCACAACAGAGCAGCCTGAATGCTGAGCAACTGAGCCGGGGGGGGGGGGGGGGCAGTGCTGGGAGACTGGCGAAAACAGCAGTGGCACCAGCCGCCCCCCTCCTCCTGCCTGCCTTTGTAATTAAGACCATCAGCCAGTTAATTAAAGAGAATCAAGTGAATGCCTTCCACCACGTAATTGATCCTTTAATTGATGCAGTGGTGCAGTGCAGCCGAATTCTCTGGCCCGCCTCAGCATGGCAGCAAATGCCCACGACAGCCGCAAACTTTCCTTCCTTTGCTCGGACTGATGCGGACTCTCCTGGAATCTTGTCCAAACACCGGGATCCTGGCGTGACTGAACCTCTGGGCATGTGCAGAGTGCTGCCCTCTTTCTTGCCACGAAATGATGGGAACCTGCCTTCCAAACCTCTCAGGGCCCGGAGCATTTCCTTCTCAGTGTCTTGCCTGCTTTGCACGCTTTGTTGGCAGCCCTCCCCGAAAGCTCCAGAGCATGAGCAGAGAGCGGGCCAGGAGGGGCAGCAGCCTGCCCAGGCGAGCAGCCCCAAGCAAAGCCTGCTCCCGAGGTGCACAGGCACCTGCCTGCGGCAGAGGGGCTGCCGGGGCCTCGGGGACGGCGCATCCAGCCTGCGCCCAGGATCATGGGGCACGTCGCCTTGGCAACCCACCCGCCGGGAAGAGCGACGGCACGGCGGTGGGAGCAGCCCCGGGAAGGGCCAGGAGGCAGCACGGGGCCCTCCCGCTGGTGGCACCCCTGGCGCAGGAGGAGCAGCCCCGGGCGCGCAGCCAAGGAGGGGCTCGGGGCGTGAGTCGGGGCTGCCCCCCGGGAGAGGAAGCCCGCCCAGGGCCACGGCAAACCTCTTCGGTTCACGTCGTGAGAAGCAGCAGCGCCGCTCGGACCCTTGGCCAATTCAGTGCCCCCGAGGGCCTTTTCACGGGGGGGGTCTGAGCCCACCCTCCCACAGGCAGAACACGCTCTGCCCCCCCGAGGAATCGTCCTCGCTCGAGGCCGGGCGAAGGGCCCCGTGCGGCAGCCGCGGGCCACGATTGTGCACTGTGGGGGTGGTGGCCCCCGGCCCCCAAGGGCCCCTGCCCCACAAGAGGAGGAGCGGCTGCCCCACAGCCCCCCTCCTGCCCGGTGGCCCACTTTGCCCAAAGCACGAGGCCCTTACCTTGGGATGGCGGAGAGTGGGGCCAGCGGGGGGTGTGCGCTGAGCAGGCGCCTCTACGGGGTCGCAGGAGGAGGAAAGGCTCTGCCCATTGCTCTTCCTGGGGGGACAGAAAGCCTCGTTACAGGAGGAGCCGGCACCCAGAGCCGCCTGAGTGCGGCTGGCCTCGTCCTGGGACCGCCGAGGGGAGGGTCTCTGTGACCCCCAGTCTGGCCCCCTGCAGCCTGCACGGGGCCTGAGAAGAGCGCCCTTGGGGAGGCCGGGGAACCCAGGCGCCCCACAGCCAGAGTGGGGTGCTGGGGAGGAGCCGGGGGTCCCCACCACTCTGCTGCCCAGCTTGCCCGCCTGAGCAGCCCCTGGCACGAAGGCTGGGAAGAGAAGGGCAGGGCTGACCCGCTGACGCGTCCTTCCCAGAATCCTTTGCCCCTGCCAGGGAGAGTTCCCGGGCAGGGGATTCTGGGAAGGTGCAGGTCAGGGTGGTCCATGCCTTGGGAGCAGGTCGGCGAAGGCTGGAGAGGCCCGTGGCCCCAGGTGCGGCCTGCACAGAGAAGCGCCAGGATGCCCCGGGGTGCTGCGGGGGCCACGGGAAGCTTGCCTGCCCCCGGATGGCCACCTGGACTCCAGCCGGTTCCCCCTTCCCGAAGGCTGGAATGCCACCCTGACGCCAAAGGGCTGCGAGAAGCGCTTTCAACTAGGCAGTGCTGCTATTTTTGGTACTCCGTCCTTCAGCGCCGCCCACCCCTCGAAGCAGCTCCCGCAAGCCTCTCCGAATGGGAATTCAGTCGGAAGTTCAGGCGAAAGAGGTCCGGGACCGCGGATCGGAGCCTGGGGCTGCTCCACGCGGCACGGGGCCTTGGCCAGCCCCCCGGCCTCCTGCCAAAAGGCCCGAACTAAAAGCCACAACCAAGACGCACCTGTGCGGGGAGGCCGGACCCCCGCAGGCGTCCTGGCCTGCCCCGCAGGGTCCGTGCACACCCACCGCCGGCGGCCGACCGGCCCCAGCACGGGGGGCTGCTCGCACCCTCCTGGGCCCCTGGGACAGCCTGAAGCCACGTTCCTCCTTCTCGAGCCCCCGCAAGGCAACAGCTCCAAGCCCTGGTGCTGGCTCTCCGTCGGGCTCGTGCCTGGGGCACGGCGCTTCTTCCACGGAGACATCTTGCCGGGGCTCCGCACATGCTCAGGAGCTCTCCACGAGTCACATCCATGCACGGCCCCGGGGGTCCGGCCCCCCAGGATGGCGTTCACGGCCGTGGCCAACTCGGCGGGGGAAGGACGGCATCGTGGCGCTGCCTAAATGGTTCCTATGGCAACCGGATGCCCGGGAGAAGAATGGCCGCGTGTGCCGAGTCGGCGGCTCGAGTAATTGATTGGCAATTACCACTGGTAATCGCATAATTACAGTGACAAATGGCCCGCTGAACTCCAGCCGCCCGCGCAGGGAAGGCCGAGCCCGGCAGGCCTGGGTGGGGCGAGCGGGGCAGCCTTCTCCCGCGGAGCAGAACAGAGCGGGGTCCTGGGCACCAGGTGCCCCCCACGCACCCTCCCTCCTCCAGCCCCCGCTCGTGGCCGCGGGGGGCTGGGGGGCTCGGCGGCCGAGGCCTCCCTCCCAAGTCCTCACGAGCCCCCCCCGGGGGCCCTCTTGCAGCACATCCTGCTTGCCCCTGGCCACAACTGGGCAGTCCAAAGGAGGGGCCCCACTGTTCTGGAACCGGCCTTCTCAGCGGGTTCCTCACATCCCTTCTCTGCCCCTCTTCACAACAGCTCCTCGGAGCCCCCCGATTGCACTGGTCTTTCCCACAGCATTATGAGCTGCTGCTCTGATCGCGGATTTCTGCTTCGGCTGACTTTCAAGATGCAACGGAGCCCATAAAAGCCACGCATGAACTCTGATCGATGCCCCGCTGCATGCCACCTGGGTGCCACTCCCGCCAAGCCCCCGCCCCGCGTGGCTCTCGCTGGAGATGCTCATCCAAGTGCAGAGGCGAACAGGCGCTTGGATGGGGAACCTGCGACGCCCCGAGGCTGCCGGAGGACGGGCACAGCTGGATCGGGAGGGTTCAGCATTTTTCCCGTTGGTGCCCGTGCTGCGTGTGTGAGAGACTCTCTCCCCCTCCCTCCGTGAGTCCAGCTGTGCTGTCCCCCCTTTCTCTCCATGCCTGTCACAGGTGCTCCAGGTGTGCCCCTGAACCTGTGCATGGCGGTGCCCTCTGTCTCTCTTTCGAAACCTTCCCCTCCGACCGGCAGCCAGAAGCAGGCCTTCCTCATCCTGCTTGTTTGTTTACTTAGCCATCTTCCACATCTAGGTGGATTCCCAAACCAATCCATCAGATAAAGGAACGAAAGGACCTGCTGAAAGCTGGGAGGGCGACAGAGCCGGGCCAGGCAGGCTCCCCGGGAGGAAGGGGCCGCCAGGAGGTGCCACGGACACGCGGGCCGTTTGCTGGTCTTCCGGCTGGAGGAGGCAGAGGCGGGACCGACCGGGGCCTCCCTCTCGCTGGTCCAAGCGAGCAGCCCCCCCTCCAAGCGCGTGGCACGCAGGGCCGGGGGAGGGCAAGGCCTTCCCGAAGAGGAGGGTGCCGCGTGGTGGAGGGGAACACACGAGAGCGCAAGCGCC